GCGAGGACGAAGTGAAAGCTTTGGCTTCATTGATGACGTACAAATGTGCAGTGGTCGACGTACCGTTCGGCGGAAGCAAAGGTGGAGTCAAAATAGATCCAAAGAAGTATACCACTGGAGAACTGGAGAAAATTACGCGAAGGCTGGCGATCGAATATTCTAAGAAAGGGTTTCTTGGTAAATTGCTGAAGTTGTCTTTGCAGCCCTGTTTTACATATACCTATATTTATATATAAGGCGGTGTTTAAAGAGCTTCATAAATTATCTTACAGTTTAGGTTATGTGTGACCATGTTAGGCGTACAACTTAAGCAACGGTGTTGATATATCAGCCGATACAAAAGTCATATGGCCATGGCCAGTTAACAAAGTGCGTAGGAGTTCGGTTTCGAACTCGAACAATGGAGACACCAGTGAGCGGGAAAAATACAAGAATGCGGTTTATACTTGTCATATGGCTGATGACAGAAAAAGAGATCGATATCCTCACCATTAACTTTATAAAAACAAGGATACTGGAACTGGCCCCATCACATGAGCGTAAAGAAGACAGATATTCCAACAGTGACAAACTTTTTCCCCTTTTTAGCAAGCCAGTCAGAGATAAAAAGTCAGAATCGCAGCCGAAAGATCATTAATCATTCTGTATTCGTAGTTCGAGGTAGGTAAACCGTTAATTACTGGTTTCAGATACTACTTGCGTAAATAAGACATAAATGATAGCATCGGATATCAGTATCGATCCAGAAACCCTATAAACAAGGACGCAGCATCTGCTACGCATGATGAAACTATAAAAGAGAATGAGTCCCAGCGTTGACGAACTGTCCCTTTTGGTTATTCTTGAAGAGGGATGTCTAGTCTGACTTGTGGAATGTGATCTAGCGCTCATAAAGTGAAATAATTTATTAACAATGAAAGCAGATGCGATAAAATATTAAACGGTACATTAACACGATAAAAGACCCTCAAAACAAAACTAGAGAAGAAGTTTGTTTTTATACCAATGTTGCGTTAAACGTCCGCAAACTGTGCTGGGACTACGTCTCTTGTGTCATTCTTTGCTTTAGGCCCTGGCGTCGATGTACCAGCACCTGATATGGGAACAGGCGAACGCGAAATGGCGTGGATCGCAGATACATATGCAATGACAACAGGTATTTGGCAGCTGTCGTTAAGTAACATCCCTGAGCTACATGAAAGGTCAGTGCACAAGCTTTCGACCTCCTTATGTTTAACAGTGAAACTATAAGACGTTTCACTGTTTTACGTCTCCACTGTGGTGCAGCTAATGCAGCGTTAGATTCATTAATTTATCATGTGTCGTGTAAAAAGAATGCCCTGTGACTAAATGATCAAACCAAGACTAAATGAGGATCCTGTATAAAGTAATTCATGTAATATTAAATAATCAAGCTTGGTATCTTAAGCAATGAGTACAGTTATATAACTTCCCCACAGAGAGTACGACGAATTGTTTGGAAAACAGTGCAAGAAAATGAATGAGACCACAAAGGTTAACTAATTACATCCTCGAAGAATGATGCAAATAATTTTCAATGCTGCTTTGGTAACTTTGTCATTTTCTGCCATACATATAAAATAAGACTTTTAGTTTTTCTTAAATTATGTTTAGGGCATCTCGACAAGGATGCATACGCCTGTGTAACCGGCAAGCCGATAGGTCTAGGCGGCATTCATGGTCGCGTATCTGCTACCGGAAGGGTACTATTACTTATTCTTACTCTATCTTTCACGTTGATACTAATCATTCTTTTAGGGAATATGGAACGGAATCGAAGTGTTTTTGAACGACCGTGAATATATGGAAAGAATTGGATTAACACCTGGTTATCAGGGAAAAACTTTTATAGTTCAGGTCAGACTCCCTACCTGAATTTTAGAGGGAACTGAAACAGGCTATGTTTAGGGCTACGGCAATGTAGGCCTCCATGCTGCCCGGTATCTCACCCGTTCCGGTGCGAAGTGCATCGGCGTTTTGGAAATTGATGGCTCGATTTTCAACCCGAACGGTATTGACACCGAGCAGCTTGAAAAATATCAAGAGGTCTTAAGCCTATTATGCTTAGAAGGTTTTGCTTATTTAGTTTTCTTTTATGGTGCAGGCAAAGGGTACCATTGTCGGTTTCCCGCAAGCAAAGCCTTACACTCCAAAAGATGATCTAATGTTTGAAAAGTGTGATATTCTGATTCCAGCAGCCAGAGAGAAAACTATCACCAAAGCAACGGCTGGCAAAATTCATGCCAAGGTACACGCTTGCCTGTGTTTGGTTTAGTTCAAGTTAATTTTAAATATTCACTTAAAAAAAAATTTACGCTACAATAAAGCAGCATACGAACTTGTTGCATACGTCGCGGCAAATTTGAACGCAGGGCTTAAGAAACGATGAACAGATATATTGTTTATCTAAACTACGTTTAAACTCCGCCAACCTTTCATGACGATGATGCAACAACAGTGTAAGATAGTGATTACAACCTGTTAACTGTGTGGCATAGAGTCAGTTTGACCTACGTCTCGTAAAGGTTATACCAGGCGCAGTTCAATTTATTTTTTCATTTATATGTAACCTATAAACTTCAATATTCTTTTATTAGAGACTGACTTTATATTAAAAAATTACCCTGATTCCTTGAAATTATCTTTTACAATATTTTTTCCTTTGTTTAAGGTGATCGCCGAGGCAGCCAACGGACCAACGACGCCAGCCGCACATAATATCCTTTTGAAGAGGAATATCCTGGTGCTACCTGATTTGCTGGTCAACGCTGGAGGTGTCACTGTGTCTTATTTTGAATGGCTCAAGAATCTCAACCACGTTAGTTTTGGTAGATTGACGTTCAAATATGAAAAGGAAAGCAACATGCGATTGCTGAGTATGAACGTCTTCAATTTCCTTTAGTTCCATTTTATACACAGAGATTTAGGTAGCATTCAGGAATCGATCGAAGATGCTTTCGGAAAGAGCGCTGGTTCGGTGCCCATAGTAGGAAATGCAGAATTCCAAGAGCGAATCGCGGTAAGGGTGTGGCTACGTTTACTTTGAAATTTCGATGTCTGATATTTTGCAGGGTGCTTCTGAGGAAGACATTGTCCACTCAGGTTTGGCCTATACAATGGAACGCTCTGCTAAGGTATGCTTTGCCACGCCGTGTTTGACGAATAACTGAAACTTGTCTTTCTAGGCCGTAATGACCACTGCCAAAAAGTACAACTTAGGCTTAGATCTGAGAGTAGCTGCCTACGCGAACGCTGTGGAAAAAGTAGTCAGCTCCTACGTTGTTGCTGGATTCACTTTCACTTAAAAAACTCGGTGCTACAAAGAGTCTCACTATGCATTTTCACTGCTTATTCTCCCGGTGCAGTTGTTTTTGTTATTTTGAAACTTGTTTTGTTGTTTATGTTTGGTAGCACGGCGGCGGAAGTTTTTAATGCCGGATAATTTTTGTTCCAGTTTTTCTAATAGTCATATATTTGTTGAGATTTTGAACCTCTCAAATTATGACAAATTAAAACATTTGCGCTAAAGTTTCGTCCTCAGACGTACTTAAGTAATTTTGAACGTTCTGTTGCTCGGGGTTATCTTGTAAGAAGACGAGGAACATAAGTGTTTCATATGCCTTTTCTTGTGAAATGCGCACGCACAGATGGTGACTGGCAGTTTTTTTTAAATTTAAACCGTAGTTCCTAAAAATTTATGCCAGAATTCAACTGAAATTTCCAGTTTTCAGCAAAACGGCCGTTTCAGGTATAGCATATTTCTGACCTGTGCTTTCCGAAGATGAAGATAAGCATATTCTCCTACAATTTAGAATATGAAGTTTGTGAATGGACAGATGATTAAGTATACAAATGAGATAGAACGCTAAATTTAACTAATGCATGGTGGCTAAACGAGAGCTCAAACGCAGTAACTGATTTTTCCTTGATTGAATAGTACCTTTCAGTGTTTCAAGATGGTTTGCGCTAAGCATCAAACCCTTGAGAATCATCTTGAAATAAATCATAAAGGTGATTTTTCAACTGAAAAGTACTTTTAGTTCATTCAGTTATTGTCAGTGTGGTAAGTAACGTGGGTTGCCCGCTTCTAGTGCTTTCATGACAATTTTGTCTGTGAGAAAGAAATGATAATTCTTGCAATAAATTGGACCATGAGCTTTCCCGTATTAGTCTCCTAAAAGAGCATGAAAATAGCTTTCAGCTTTCCATCATTCAGTCTGCACTCTAAAGAGGTAATGACTAGTCAATGGGAACACGAACAACATATTCGTGCTATATCAAAAACGAAAAAAAAATTCTTTATAACTCGATCGGTAAAAAGTAGGGAATTAACGTTGCCCGTATTTTGGTATCATCTTGAATGAAATTTAGGTTACAGTTCCTGGTAAACATCACACCGGATAATCAGCTGTCAAGTGAGTAAAGGTGAACTGCAGCCACAATGGGTACTGACCTTTGGCAGTATGGCAGAACACCTCGTTCGTTCTGGCACGATCATACCGTTTGTGTTATTGTCAAGTCACCGGCTTACAACCCGTTTCTCAGCAGGTTGCGCGCAAGCAACGTGAGGTTAATTCATTGCTCAAGGGAATTTGCGGTAAAGATGAGGGCTGTCCCTTGAGCAAATTTGAACGCAGCACCTCCGGAATTCATAACCGATCTTTCAAATACCGTGTCACTATGCCCTGTCAACAGAGGGTTAATAACATATCATTATGTAGTCGTGAATATTTCTAGTTTCTGTGAGAAGGGCTCAGACCAAAACTTCCAAACCACTACAACTGAAGCTCATATATGAATATAATATACAGTGCAACGTACTTCGCTTCGTTTACTCTTTCATACTTCAAGTACTCAACTGCGCTTTTCAGGACGGTTATGTAAAATACGAAGCCCCATATAACCGCCTTCAAAATTTTACATGTAGAGCTCAAACTTGAATATAATGTGTACTGCAGATGACTTCTTAGAGTCAGTACACAAATACCTCAAGTACTCGCTAACGATACTTTGAGATTGTTCAGTAAAGCACTGGACTCGCAGAACTATTTTCAAAGATTTCTATGGAGAAGTTTCTAGTTCAACATGTTGTCCGCTGCAGCATGATTTAATTTATAACGGCCAGTGGATTGGGCAAGAAATGGCTGTTTAACCTTCCTTTCTAGAAGCAAACAGTACACAAGATACAATGACAAAAGTAAGGGATCGAAAGTCTGGGTGGAGTGTATTCTACAAAGCTGCGGCACGAGTGAAAGTGTCATAAACCGTGAAACAGCAGGTTAATGAGAAAGTGGTTTCCAAGACGTTAAATGACCTTTTATGCCTCCAGGATTCATATGTTGAACGGAAGTGGGACTCAAGTACCAACCCAGAGAAGAAAAAGGGAGTGGCACTGTCTATTTTAAGCAGTAAAAA